AAGGGCCCAAACACGCACCTCTATTCTTGGGATGGAAGAGAGGAGGAAGGAGAGGACGGCTGCAGCCTTTTTGTGTTGTAGGCATATCACTGTCGGTTCTCGGCTAGAACCGACAGTGACAGAGCCTAATCACTGTCGGCTCTTGGCTTAAACCGGCAGTGATGTAGTCCTTCACTGCCGGTTTTAGCCTAGCCTCAATCATTTTTTCATTTTCAAGCTCATAACCGGCAGTGAAGCTACATCACTGCCGGTTCTCATAAATCCAGCAGTGATGATGCCGACAGTGATGTGCAAATCTAGCGTAGTGTTTGCTTCAACGAGCCTTTGACTGGTACGATCTTCAGTGCACGGTGTCGGCCGTCTTTTATAGTATTCGCGCCATTGGCCAACAAGGTCATTTATGTCCTCGGTGTTTTCTTTTTTTTGGAGTAATTTCCTACTGGAGTTGGTGGCACAACAAAATTGTATTCCGACTCACATACGACATGCATAACGTGCTGCTCCAGCTTCCTCATGAGTTGGGGGGCACCACAAAATTGTATCCCGAATTACAAGGATTTGAACATACAACGCGTTGTAGCATAAAACAAAAGCCTCCTTATTTTATATTAGACTAGCAAACATGTTTGTGCGTTGCAACATAAGAAAAATATTATCAAATGCTTGACATGTTTGCTTAAGCTTGCTGCATGGCTCACTTACACATGTTAATTTGTATAGGTGCTATGTTGCTATTGTCAATTGTTGCTGCCATTTATGCAGCAATAACAAATGAACAACCACATTAATGGGCAACAAGAACGACGATTTTAAATATCTATTTTTTTTTATTTTTCTATAACATTTAAATGATATACTTTATCTTATGATAACTATGATATCCCTAATATAAACTCTTATTGGCAATAATATGAAATTGTTCTACTAATACTATATTGAATTAAAATACAATCGGAATAGATTTTTTCTTTCGTTATAAGGCACAACAATATTTACTTGTAAATATATCATAACTTGAGTTTCATACCATCTATACATTGGTAGAGCTAGATATCAAGTTCGATGACTTCTTTTGTGGATCCACAAAAATATAAAATATGTAATTCTAATATCTTATTAAGTCGGTAAGGGGTTAATTGTTGTCATGTTAAAAATTGGTATGTTCGTTCATGGGTATGACTGAGACTTCTCTCGATTTTTACATGTGAGTCCTCGTCAAGGATTGCACTATGGTATATATAGACATCATGGAGATTTGTAGTGATATATGTGGATAGCATGGAGATACCTTAATATAGATTATTAGATTGGATGACAAACTATTTAAGATTTCAGTCCACAGATTGATTAGTTGGATCATCGCCTGGTCTAGATCCTAATAGTACTAAGTTTTATTCATAATTTAAATTACATCAACAACTTAGTGAAGGAAATATTTATTTATTAGGAAAGGATTAGAAGTTCAAACACCCATAATACTATATATAAGAAAAAAAAATAGGAGACAAAAAAAGAAAGAAAAAAGTCACACAACTAAACGCGGGAAAGCCGAAGCGGGAAAAAAGAAAGAAAAAAGGGACTCCTTCTATACTTCTATTCCTACTCCACTTGTCTTGCTGCTTGCCGCCGACAAAGAGTAGTTGCCAATTAACCCGTCTCATATAAAGAAATCAATGCAAGTCCAAGTGGAAGTACGTTGGATAACCAACTGGCGAACAATAGCCACCAGTCAATTACAAGCGGCGCCAACGCCGCAGTCAGTCGCTGCCGCATCGTCATCGTCGTGGTCTTCTTCTGCGCGCAGACTATTCGTTCGTTCGTCCTTCGTTGCATGGACTGACAGTAGTGAATCAGTGATGCATGCCGGCTGTTGGCCGGTTAGTTGCGACGACTAGCAGTCAGTCACGTCGTTCAGTCTACACATCAATCATCATCACGCATGTCGTCGTTGAATGTTTTTCCTTGGAAGGACGACTTAGGCCCGTTTAGTTCCGGAAATTTTTGGCTTTTGGTTACTGTAGCACTTTTGTTTTTATTTGGTAAAAATTATCCAATTATAGACCATTTAGGCTTAAAAGATTCGTCTCACCATTTCTCGGCTAACTATGTAATTAGTTTTTTTTTCGTCTATATTTATTACTTCCATGCATGTGCCACAAGATTTGATGTGACGGAGAATCTTGAAAATTTTTGGTTTTTGGCTTGGAACTAAACGGGCCTTAAGTTTAGTTGCCTCAAATAATTGACCGCTCCGGAACTATGGTCTGAAACGTTGTTTTGCTAAAACTAGCAGCCAAAAGAATTGCTTCTTGTTTTCTTTAACATTTTTCATTTTTTTCTTCTTTATCTTTATTTCTGCTGAAATCTGCAACCTGAAGGACCAAACTACCCCTGTACTAATTGAGATGCTAGTTGACGTGAGATCCGCTGTCTCGGGGCAGCGCTGGTCGCTGGTGGCCGCTGCAGGCCCGGGCGCTGGCTGGCTGCCTGCGCCCTGTATGTGCCTGGATACATACATATTAAAAAAAACATGCATATAACAGAATAACGAGTTCATTTCATAGATCAAGGGAAAACGAGTTCATCTCACAAATCTGTAAATTTGGACCAAATGAGTTCATCTCACGGACCCATAAATCTTACTATTACTAATTAGAGGCCCCAGCGGAGGCTCCACGTTAATTCTCACCAGATAAATGCTATAAATTCTCACATTAATCAGAAATATCTGGCCGTTGATCGAAAGTCTCCAACTAGCTCTAACTTTCTATAACCATCAGATCTATTTTATTTTTTAGATCTATTTTATTTTTACTCACCTCCATCGTTACAAAAAAAAGTAGCCCAAATAAAATATTATTGCCGAAAAACCTCTAGCCACAGGGGATAAAATATTGAACGGTTGTTGGTTGATAAAATATCCAATATATTAATTAGATACTACCGATAACCTTATAGCATGGTTAATATATTAATAAAATATTAGTCCTCAAGGTTAACGGTTAGCCTAAAATATCATTGCCAAAACAATTGGCCGCACAGGAGGAAATATTTAATGGGCCATTGATTAATAATAAAATATCTAATATATACAACTGATCACGTTAAGGTTGGTTAATGTATCTTAATAAAATATCAAGCTCTCACGATCACATTAACGATTGGGTAATGTATTAATATAAGCCATCATCCCATGATGTTCATGGTTAGTTAACGATTGGCGCATTGTTTGGGCTGCTGAAAAAGCAAATTTTCTGGTGTGTATTGGTATGCATTCTCGTCTCAGGTGCTACCGCCAGCCGCTGCCAGCACCCTACACTCTTGCCTCTCCAGTGTCTTCCACTTTTCCAGATGCTTCTTTGTGCGTGCACATGGAACGACATGTTCCTAACATCGTGGAGTGTCGACGCCAAAGCACTAGTACAAAAATATTTTATATAGGTGGCTTTAATTTCTAATAGACGCGGACGACTTAAAACCATCTATAACATTGGCAAGGAGCACTACTATAGCAAATGAACCGGTTCCCTTAAGAGAACCACCCCTGAAAATATAATTTATAGGGACGGGCCACTTTACCAAACTATGTCTAGAAGAACCAGATTATCATGGACGGTTCTTTTAAGAGAACCATGTCGGAAATGTATTAACAGGGGCGGTGCTCTTAGTCAATCGCCCCTAAAAATAACCCTTCTAAAATACTCTTCTTCCTCCTAGCAACTGTAGCTGTTCATGCCACTGTTGAGCTCCATCGAAGGTGAGAAAATACAAAAAAAAGAGGGGGAGGGCGAGGTTTTTCCATTTGAATCTTTGAATGGGATGGGTTTGAGAGGTGAGTTTGTGCCATCCCTAAAGTCTTTTCAAATTTTACCTATACAATTCTTTCACTAATTTTTGTTGTCATGTAGATCTAGAGATGTAGAGAGACTTGATGTTTGATATTTTTTAACTTTTCTAGCAATTTAGACTGATTTTTTGCCCAACTTACTTGGCTCACATCAACTCAGGTAAATTTGTATATTTATTTTGCCATTTTTGGTTCACAGTTTTTTTATAGATTAGTTTTTAAGCTCTAGATCTAGAATAATATTTATACCAAAAAATAGACAATTCATTCACGAGTTACGTGCGAATAATATATCTTTTCTCTTCAAAGACCATGTATGGATAGGTCATGGATGTACACGAAACGAAGACACGAAGACTCCTATATACAAGATGTGAATGGTTTTATTGAAGCCGCTAAAAGACATGCTTTGATTAAGCAGACAAATGATATATATTGTCCCTATTGTGACTGTTAAAACCATCTAGTATGGCAGGATCTAAATACGATAAGATCGCACTTAGTAAGAAGGGGTTTCATGGAGAATTACATGATTTGGTATCATCATGGTGAGAGACGTACAGAAGCAAGCAATCAGGAAGGGGATTGCACGAAAAGTAATGGAGATGACGATACCCATCTTCTCATGACGTATAACGGTACACGAGACGACCATGCAGAAGGTAGTGGTGGAGAAGGCTGTGGTGGGGGGGCCGACTTTGGTATCAGGCGGGCTTTCGTCAGCTGAGTTTGCTACTCCCGATGCTAGTTTCTTACATTAAGTTTGGTGGCATTGTTTCCTTGAGCAAGATCTATGACGTCTTTGTTATGTATTTATGCTTAGCTTCTCTGGTTAGTACCGATAATCTTTGGATTACCTGTGCTTTGGGACTTTGTGCAAAACTCTTCTACCTCTTAATAAAAAACGTGCCATGACACAGTCGAGAAAAAACACTATCATAAAACCGCACCTAGGAGCTTTAGAACGGTGAATATGGTGGATTGTGCGCTGTAGTAGACCAAACCATACAAAATGTATTTGTGATTTGTACGAGCAGGATTCCCCTTCACTACAATGTATTTATCATTTGAAACACAACCAAATAGAACATGCAGAAACTGTAGTTCATTCGTCCCTCATGATGAACATAAACTCGGCCCTTGAGATTTTTTTTCAAGAGGTAGCGTGAGGGGCCTTGTTCTCCTTGGCATGCTCCGAAAATTTCTCAGCAGTTGCAGCCAAAGCTGCCATGCTCACCATAGCTTCAAGCTCTTGGTGTGCATCATCAACCTCATACTCGATAGTGGATCTTATCACTGACGAGTTGGGCCCTTTTGAAATGATCTCAAACCGTACCATGTAGTACAGGAACCCCAGCTTCAGAATGTCGCCTTCGACGACTTCTGCCTCCTTGATATAATTCTCATTGTCTACTTTGATGAACTTCTCCTTGTAACTCTGTAGTCCAGGAATCCCTAGCAAGTGCAGCAGAGCAATTAAAAGTTACTACAAGTATATACAATGTTAGCATATCCAGCAGCATCAATAATGTTTATTTGTGTGTGTCTTCATATAGACTTAATTTCTCTCACCAGGTGGAAATATTAGCTTGAGAATGGTACCGACACCGCCGTCGCCGCTGATGAGCTCGACCTTGGCGAGCACGTGCGGGAGCAGCTCTGGCAGGAGTTTCGCGGGGAGGAGCGTGCCGTAGATTGCCCACAGCTCGGAGGCCGGGACGTCGGTCTCGTGCTCATGGACCTTGCTCCCCTTCATCCCTAGTTCCTCGGCCTTTCAGCTGCCTGATGATTCTATTGTCTGAGTCGTGGTGTATTTGTTGGTGTATCGGCGTGTGGAAACCACCAAGCCCTCCGGTGTGCATATATAGGCAAGACGGTGTAGCGTGAAAGATGCTCTCTTTTTGCTGCCTCGGATCTCCAAGAGGCTGTCATTTGGCTGCGTCTGGGGAGTACCTTGGTTGTTGCCTCTCCCAACAAAAACACAGAATTATCGAGAGAGAGTGAGAAAAGAGACGCACGCAAGCGACGCGCGGGAGCCATGCAATGTCTCAGAAAAGACGGCTGCGAACAACAGCCACCAGTCAATTACAAGACGCGACGCCAACGCCGCAGTCAGTGGCTGCCGCATCGTCGTCGTCGTCTGCTCGCAAACAATTCGTTCGTTCCTCCTCCGTTGCCTGCACTGACACTGGTTAATCAGTGATGCATGCCGCACGCCATGCATGGTCGTCGATAACCAACTGGCGAACAACAGTCACCAGTCAATTAAAGCCAGCAGTCAGTCTTCGTTCCACGGCATGCGCTTGGACTTCCGTTCAGTGCCGAGCCAGCTTTCTCTCTCAATCTATCATCACCCATCAGCCAGCAACGGCCGTCGTCATCCCTCCTGCATGCATGCCCGGCGGCCTGGAAGCCGGCTGCTGGCCGGTTAGTTGCGAGGGACGACTAGCAGTCAGTCATGGCTACACATCGACCATCATGATGCCTGTCGTCGTTGAATGTTTTTCCATGGGATGATGAACACATGCATGGAAGGTCGACTAGTTTTTTTTTTGAGGGGTTGGTTGTCTGTCACACCCGATTTTAAGGATAAAATGGAATGCATAATCTTATGTGTGTCCAGAGATCAATTACACACATAAGCCGATAAATTATAGATAGTACCATCAAAAGTGTTTATTATATCACGTATAATAAGACAGAGTCTTCACATAAATATAGCGGAAGTATAAAGAAAAAATTTCTCGCGGAAGCTCCATATCACATGGACGTCAACGGGTTGACCACAAGTTTAGTAATCCTCAGGAAAGTCGTTATTACCATAGCCATCTGTTACCCATCCAGGATTTTTATCTAAATAATGAAAATAAACAAGTGTAAGTATTTGTCGAACTCAACAAGTGTAACATGCGGTTCATGAGGCTCAAAAGGCTTGAGACATGTTTAACAACATTCAGCTTTTAGTTGTCACAATTTTAGCATAAGAGTAGCAACAAGTTGTTTTAATCAGATAGTAAAGACATGATCAATGTAAACAAGAATAATGAATAGCATAAACGGATAATTCTTAGTGATCATCTATTCCATAAGGGTCCAAGGCCGCTCATGACCGTGAGAACGGCTGATATACCAGTTTTACACTCTGCAGAGGTTGTACATTTTCACTGTGAGTCGTGATACCCATATGCTCGAGTTAATTACTCCTAAAACATTTTCAAGGTGAGCAAAAATGGTTCGCTTTGAAGCCTTTCAAAGGTTCATCTAACCAGTTAGGGTAATTAGATTCACTCGACAAACAGATATAGGAACCCCCTATCGAAAGGCGTAATTCCATCACGGCTATACACATAAGAGTAGATGCTATCCTATACTCGATTCGGCAAGCCATTCTTACGCAATAAAGGTAACCTCTAACAAGTTAGAAAAGGTGCTCATACTGAGCTAAAGCCAGAGGCATGTAGCCCTCACAGCTGTACTGTAAGTCACAGATATTCGCTTACAGATAAGTCCTTAGGGAGATGAATCTAAAGCATTTAGAAAGTAGGTAAACACTCTAGTCCCCTATTTTCAAGTTGCTAAAAAGACATATTTTAATGCTTATTGCATATACCATTAGTCAAGTTACAAGATCATGATTTAGTTGAGCACTAGCAAAGCTACCCAATGCATATCCCATAAGAGACAAGGTATAAGTCTAATTCTAGGAAAATCCTATTTAAGGTGACACATGCAATATAAATTAAATGTATTAAAGTTGATAGGAAACAAGGATGATCCTATGCTATACTTGCCTTGAACAAAGTGTTCCTACTGATCCTGCTCGTCAAAGTACTACTTTTGATCACCCATGAATTGCTCACCATCTATACTCGATAATCACAGCAACATACAAGCATCCAGAACAATCATGCAAAGCAAACAATGACTATAGATTAGAACAGTATATCAACAGCATAAAATCAAGATAAAAAGTTTGTAAAATGAATCTACATCTCGCTATAAACACACATATGCGAAAATCACGAAAATCGGAGCTAAAACAAAAAAGTTATGAATTAAATAAGATTTTCTTTACTAAAATAATAGATTAAATCTAACCTTGAATTTTAAAAGTTGAAAATATACTTAACAGTAGTATGGACATGTAGATTACTCAATTACAAAACTAACGCAACTTGAACGGATAAAATCGGAGTTAAAACAAAGATTTTATGGCTAAAACAAGATTAGTGGCAAAACTGTAAATAGCTTAAAGCGTATTTTAAATCTAACCAAAAAAACTACACTTTCTAAAAAAAACGTATTCTAGGAATACGCTTTGGACCGCAAGTTTGAACTTAGAAAATTGCAGGGTCTCTTTTGCGAAACGGCCGGTGGAATCGGTATCGCGTGATCTGAATCGTTGGATCAAGATTGAACGGTGCAGATCAGATGGGAGGGGAGAGAGAGAGCCTGCTGGCTGGAGAAGAAACCGGCATGGTGGCGCCATGGCTGGAACTGAGAGACCTCACCGGCGTTTGTCAATACGACGCTACCGGGCATCATAAGCCAAACGGGAAGCAAGAGAAGAAGACAACGAACTCACCTAGGTAGCTTACAGCGGTCGACGGCGGTTGGAAGCAGCTCGGGACGGTGGGTGGCGATGGCGGCGATAGGGCTTGCGGCGGCTGTGAGCTCTAGGCGAGTAGGGGCTTGCTCTAGGGTTTGGTAGGAGGTGGCACAGTGCGGCTTGGTATTTATGGTGGCGAAATAGCTTGGAGCGCGTGCCAAGGCGGAGTCGATGATGGGGCAGCGGCAGATTCTCGTAGCTGCGGAGTCTAGGGAGGAGACGAGCCGGGGTGAGAGAAGGCGTCCGACAGGTGGGGCCCGGCTGACAGTGAGACACTACGGGAGAGAGGAGGCACGGGCGACGCTCCGTGGCCGACCTGCTCACTAGGCCACGGGGAAAGGAAACTGGGCCTCGTGGGAGAATGAGGGCAGCTGCTGGGCCGCTGCAGGAGGAAAGGCCGAGCGGGCCAAAAGAGAGGGAGGAGGAAGAATTCTTTCTTTTTTTTTTTTTTGAATTTCATTTTCAAATCCAAATTCAAATCAAACTCGAATTCTTTTGCAATTTGATCAAACCCAAGCATCACAAAAATAAGTATGCATCGGCATGAATGCACAAACATGTAGCTAGACCTTATATTTGATTTTAATTTTAACAAAGTTATTATTTTTTCTAAATTTAAATGCTCACAAAATGCATAATTAAATCAAATTTATCTATTTTAAAATGATGCAAATTTTAGGGTGTTACATTGCCTCAAATATTTGACTACTCCTTTGTCTGTGGAGAAAATTGCATTTTTAGCTGCCTAAACAATGCACTTTGCAAAACCAGTATCGGAAACATTACTTTTGGTAAAAATGGTAGCCAAAACAATTGCTTCTTGTTTTCTTTACCATTTTCCCTTTTTTCTTCTTTATCTTTATTTCTCCTAAAATCTGCCACCTGAAAGGACAAAACTGCCCATGTGCTAATTGAGAATTGAGATGCTAATTGATGTGAGATCCGCTGCCGCTGGGCAGCGCTGGTCGCTGGTGGCCACTGCAGGCCTGGGCGCTGGCTGGTTGCCAGCACCTGCATGTGCATGGATACATACAGTCTCGAACTCTAAAGTGCTCGGGGGCTACTATCACACAAAATAAACATCGTAGTAAAGATAATTTGAGTCCCAAAGAATACATCAAATTAAGAATATTTCATATTTTATTTAAATAAAACATACATATTCTACGCTAAAAATTCAATAAATAAAATAAAATTCTACAAGACTAGCTTCAGCGGGATGAAGATGACCCTCCATCGGGCTTTTTGCCAGACTTGTACTAGGGGTCCTTTGCTAGGAGGCGCTCCGTCCGCTGTGTTAGTTAAAAATATAGTTAGTTTCAACTGGTGATAGGGACTACGTAACTTCAAACAATGAAAGAAGGTTGATCGCAAAAAATATCATCACGCAAACTTTTCTGTTCATTACCTTATTCTTGCACTCTTCTTTGTCAGCACTATGCCAGATTTGCACATCACTGCCGAATTTGTGAGAACCGGCAGTGATGTATCTTCACTGGCGGTTATGAGCTTGAAAATGAAAAAATGATTGGGGCTAGAATAAAACCGGCAGTGAAGGACCACATCACTGTCGGTTTGTGGCTTGAACCGGTAGTGTTTTGGCGGGCACTCATCACTGCCGGTTTAAGCCAAGAGCCGACAGTGATTGGACTCTATCACTGTCGGTTCTAGCCAAGAACCGAGGGTGACAAGCCTACAACACAAAAAGGCTGCAGCCATCCTCTCTTTTCTCCTCTCTTCCATCCCGAGAACAGAGGCACGCGTTTGGACCCTTCCCTCTATTGTTGCGGCTGCTATTCACCATGAAACTAGTGCTTGAATTTTAAAAAATGGCTTGATCTTTTTGCTTTAAGGTTAGTAACAAACATCCACTCCTTTGATTTTGTTGCTTAATTAGCTTCGTTTTGATGGCTACATTGCTTGATTCTCATTCTAGTTCTTTCTCCATTCTAGAGAGCACTGTTCCAATTGGAGATTTGTGCAAGGCTCAAATTGTGGTGAATCCATCATCCAAAACATTGGTGTCTATGAACACATTTAACTTCCTAACTAATTATTCCATGGTGGTCAAGATCATCATTGTCAGTATGTGATGCTATAATTAGTTCTTAGAAGTAGAGTAGAATAGTTGTTCTTCAATATTGTGC